TTTTTCAGAATGTAAAATAAAGGCTTTACTATTAAAAGGCTCTTTTTTCAAGTCTCTACCGTCATTAAAAACATTTTTTTTAGCAATTTGAAAGTTGTTTTTGTAACTCTGTGATCACTAGAACTGAAAATGTTGCAAAATTTCAATAAAATGAACATCCAGTTTTTTTCCCTCAACATTTAATTTTTATAACCACTTCTTTTTTTTTTCTTTGTTCAAAGTATTGTATAACTTTTGAAAAGTATATTCTTTATTCTTATTTATTATTATTATTTTATATAGATATAATAAATTAAGCTAAGTCAAGTAAAATCTTATATTCTCAAATTATGAGAGTTTTATGTCTATTTTAATTTTTAAAAAAATCAACAAAAAATCAATATTCAAGAAAAGTTAACTATAAAAATCGATCCACAGTTAACTTTACTATATCACAAAATTCCGAAGTCATACAATTTCCAGATGAGTTATCCAGTTCTAAAACTTCATAAGAGCAAAGAAAAAAAAAATTATTAAAAAAATTATCAATGGTGTTTACTGAGTTTTGCGATACTATGAGAAAAAAGATAAATTCCAAATACAAGTTTAATAACTTAATGTGTGTGTGTATATATATACTTATTGTTTTTCTTAACTTACTTCGTGTTTTCTTGTATTTATTTATTATATATATATATATACATAAAAATAAAACAAAATGCTAAAGCATTATTAGTTCAATTATTGCCGCAGTAAGTTTGTTCCCATTTTATGGTATTTCTACACAATTTTTTAAAATAAAGGATACAATGGTTAAATTAAAGGGGAAGAACATGTTAGATGAAGTTTCAATAATCAATTTTAGAATGTATAATCATATCAGAAAGCAATTCACCTTTTCTATATTTTTCTATGAAAACTGATGAGTAAGTTAATATTCTTTATTTACAATCCAGAAAATTAAATATTAATAGTAAGTCACTTAACATGTTCTTCAATTACCAGCATATCTGAAGAAACTGCATAAAATATTAAAAATGTACATTGAATTATAAAAATGTCATATTAAAAATCAAACTATTTTTTTACCAGCTGTATAAGCTAATAAAGAAAGGAAAAATTCATAATTTTCATAAATATATAAGTTGACTGTAAAATACATAAATTTTTTTTTTGAAAAAAAAAATTAAGATAAATTATTGCATCTTAGGCCTATACAAGTTATAACTCAAAAGATACCATGTTTTACATCCTTGGTATAATGTTTTGATTTTTTTTCATATCACTTTTGTCAAAAGACAAACAGATAAAATATGTGCACTTTACAATATTAAATCATTTATATGTACAAATCAATAATGCATCTGTTTATTTACATTGTGCTCAAACCTCTTAATGCATAAGAAAAACAATTCACCTGATTCTGGTAAACATAATGTATGTAACCATAAAATTTCTTTCATTTAATTTAGCTGTACAACAGATTTTCTTTATACACAATATGATGCAAAAATGTCGCCATTGAATTATGCACAACTGAGGAATTCAAAATATTTTCCATTGTTATTTGGTACAAGATGACTATGATTCAACAATTATTCTTTAACAACTACATTTTATGAAAACATTAAAAAAAATTCCAATTAACTATTTGTGACAACGGGAGATATGGAATAAAACACATACAAAACTCACATTATACATATATAGTTTGTATTTTTTAAATGATTCAACATTTTTTACTAAAAAACTATTATTAACCCTCAAACCAAAAGCAAAATTTGAAAAAGCAAAACTATACATAACAGAAAAAAATTGTTTACTTGTACTTAGAAAAAGGAAACAAAATGAAATATTTTAAGTAGTATATTAAATAAATCAGTTAGTACAAATCAAATGAACTAACCAAAAGAAAATTTGATCGGGTTAGGGCCTATGAAGCAAAATTAAAGTTTAAAATCCTTTACTTAAGTCCTTTTATATTTTTCTAAATTTAAAACTTCTGAATTTGTTTACGTTTTACTCTTCTCTTTTATTAGAAAATTATTTTTTATACAGCAGCTTTGCTTTCACCAATTTCAAAGGAAACATAAAATATAATGTCCTTTAAAAATATTAAAAGCAACATAATTTGAAATAAAAAAGTCAGCTAGAGGAAGAAAATTAAGTGGAATCTATAGAATGCATCCAAGAAGTGCAACTATTTTCTTTCAATCTACAATAATACCTAACATTTTGTCTTATGAATCATATTTGTATATAATTAGGCAAAAAGAATTTTATCAAATAAAGTAAATCAATCAAATAAAGGTTCTTTATAACACATTTCCCATTTATAATAAACAAATGAGCTTATAGAAATGAGTATTGACTGTTATTTCTAAGAAAATAGAAACAATTAAAAGTTTATGACATTTTATCCTTTTTCAATAAAACTATTATGAATATAGTTATATTTCGTTAGTATATTGTTTTGAAGTATATATTTTTGTACTGCTAAATTTTGTCACATTAATTTTTTGTATGCATAAGTGAACTTGTTTCTCTTCAAAGAAAACAGATTTTGTTTAAAAAATCTGTAAAAAGATTTTGTTTAAAAACTATACTCACAATATTAATTTTTGCACCACACTGTATGTGTTACTGTAAAAAAATTATAAGTTTTAATTTCACAGTAAAAATTAGCTTCAACAAAGCCCAAACTAAACACTCGATTTGATTACAATTTGTATTTTTTTAAAGGTAATTTTAGCTTTTTCTCTGAAAAGAATTTTAGCCGAAAGTTTCTATGACAGTTAAAATAGAATTTTCCTTATATTCTAAAATAAAATAAAATAAAATTTAAACTTTGAGCTAGTTTTTTAATAAAAAAATGTTTTCATCACGTGTTGCAGAAATAACATAGTAACATATCTTGTAAGAGTTTTTACAGATATATATATAGAACATGCAAACACTACAAGTCCCAAATAGTTAATAAAAAGAACAGTTTATACTACTGCTAGTCTTTCTAAAATAATAATGTATAATGAGCGTTAATTAAAATGCTAAAAAAATATATAGATTGTTTTTACATATTTAGTTAACACTAGAGTACCAAACGTAACTGAGAAAATTTTTATTTTTGTTTCCTTTTTAAATTATAACAGTTGTTTAGTCATCAAAAATCTTAATGAATGCAATTAAATAGTATGTAAAAAAATGAGTTTTACACACAAGTTCACAACAAATTCCTTACAATAGCAAAGGATCATGCATAACTATACAGCTAAAAATGTACAATATAATATCATTTATAAAATAAATAATGTGAGCAGAATTAAATTATTTACTGCCTTTTGCAGTTTATACAGTTCAAAATAAGTAGAATTTAAAAAAAAGCTGTAATTATTAAATAAATAAGTATGAAAGGCTCATCAATATTTGGAAATATAAAAGATAAAGGGAGAGAAATTTATATATATGTATATTTAACATGGGATGTCAAAAGACTGCCAAATTTCAAAATTAAATATCTCTGAAGCAATTGGAGATCACAGGAAGAAATTAAGTCTATTGATAGTGAGAGCTGTTAATATTTTTATGAATATTTTTTTAATTAGTTGTAAAAATATCTAGCGTATTGTGATGTGCAATGTACAGGTCTGTAAACATAGCCAAAAGATGGTTCTATAACCTGTACAGTGCTCCTGATGGGGACTTGCAACAACAGCATATATCATCTTTGGGCAATATTAGTTAATTTTTCCCCCTCTGTTGGCAACTTTCGTATATAATTTTAAAAAAAACTACATAAAAATATTAATTTTTTCTATGAATATAATTACTTTCAAACTTTTTATCTAAAATTACTTTAAAATTATTAAATCAGGAAATCGGTACTCTTTAGCCAGATAGCCTTAAAATATTTATATTTATAGATATACTACTAATATATTGAGGTTAGGTCTTCGAAATGAACTGAATAAAACCTTCCTAAAACTATGATAATACTTAGAAAATCATAATGTCTGGAGTTTATTAAAAAAATTGAAACACTAAACTAGAATATCAATGTGCTACATACATAATGGCTTATATGAACATCAGTTACACTGAAGAAAAAGTTCAGAATACACCTTTACTATATTTCAATAACCTGTGTTAATTAAAAGATTATAGTTATTTTATAAATTTAGTAAAAAGAGGTTCAAAAATACATCAAATTACTAAAACTGAAATGTAGCAAGTTTTCTTTGGGGAATGGTGAAACACAATAGTTAATAATTTAATTTTCTTTAAAAAATTGCTATGTTATTCATTGGAAGTTATTTTTTAATTTAAAAAGGTATACTTATTCCAATTTTTATTAAATTAGGTTGAATGGAAGAAAAAAGATTTTCAGTTTCTGTTCATTTCTCTTTTAGTTTAATTTATTTAAAAGATTTTTACTTTTTAAAGGTATATTTGCATAAAGTCAATGAAATTTTTATACAGTTTAACATCAATCCATCGCTTCTGCATCTTCTGTTTTCCTACAGAAGTAGCGATGTTTTAATGGTCCCGTCACAAATGCTGTTCGCATAATGTTAATAATAACTGTTTAAATTGATTGTTTTTTAAACTACAAGATTCCTGCCTCCATTGTTCAGAAACTCTGTTAATATTTAAAAAATACCGATGTTATTTCCGTTTCGAGAAGAAAAACAGTAACCCCCGATGCTGTTGAAGAAGAAAATGACAATTTGTTTCAATCCGGGAGAAACGCCTCTAACATCACATTTGATCAATATGGACCAGTTGATGAAAATGTGATAAACTTGGGTGGTGCAAAAGGGAACAACTAGAGCCAGTATTTGTGGAAAGCCTTCATACATTTGAAAGAAAGAAGATTTTGTATTCATGCGAACTTACAGAAAATGAACCGTCAAAAATTTATTCTTTACATTAAACGTGTTCATATTAAAATTTTGCAAATAATTTAATAAAGATAAATTTATAAAATGTTAGATGGAAAAATATATAATATACAGGGTGTTTAATATATTTTTAATATCAAGGTGTATCACATAGCTTTAAAATCCTTGTCAAAAATTCAAATAAAAAAAAAGTGAAGAAAATTAGCAGTTGCAAACTAATATACAAAAAAGAAACAAAAATATCATTGAAATATGATAGTTGACAAAGGAGGGGGATGATAATTAAAAACACCTGCAAGCCTCTCACATCAATCTGTAAACTTGCCAATATTAATTTATATTTAACAAATTTCAAGAACACAAATTAATTTTTTCCTTATTTAAATATTAATTTGTGACTCTTAACAAGCATACATTTTTATTTTCATTTTTGAAGCCTGCAAATATAGATATAACTTTGTTTAGATTCCCATTACCTAATTACATATTCCAGAACATTAGGTCATCCTATCCTGTCTCCATTATAATCGAAAAATGCTTTGATTAGCATACATTTAAAAAAAAGTTGCAGATATTTTTTGACAAGAATGTAGTTATACAGTTAAACACTAGTAAACATTTAATTCAAAAGTAAAAAAAAAATTATTTCGAGAACCACATGTGAATATAATAGTTAAAAGCTCATTAGAACCATATATCAATAGTTTAATATTTCTTCGAATTGTTCAGAATCTGTTTTACCTCATTAAGAAGCTTGAAATTTTGTTCACAGATGTGCAAGTGAAAAAAAAATTCTTATCTTTTAAACCTTATTACTGAAGAGCTTTAGATGATACAACTAAAAATATTTACTCATTATCTTTAAAAGTAACTAACTAATAACAATATTTAAAAGATGTTTTTAAAATAAAATTTAAAAAACTGTTATTTACAAAATATAGAATTGAATTGAACAAAAAACTAAGATTGAATTATAAATGTAGAAAATGCTTTTGAGGAGGGTATTCGTCTTAAATAAAAATTGAACATAATTATAAAAACAAATATTTAAGTTCAGTATGCCTTTGAAAGATCCAAATTTCTTAAAAATTTAACGATAAAAAGATATATATTTCACAAATAGTATAATTATAGACTATATTCAGAATTTCTTCTATATAACAAGTAACAAATGGACGTCCAAACAATTTGGTGTTCCTCATTTACACCAATCACCATGAGAATCTAGTTTTCACTGATAAACTAGATAAATGTATTTTACAAAAAAATTATTTTCAATTCTTGAAAAATAAGTCAGTTTTGGAATAAATTGATGTAAAAATCATGGGCGAATAAATAATGTGTACATCCATGTCAGGAAGCAAAGTTTCCCTGGTAGAAAAATAATTCAAAGTTTAGTAGATTCCAAAAGCTTAAAAGAAGTTCATATCAATATAAAAGAGGAGTCCCTTGTCTTCTGGAATACACAAATTCACAGGGACTATACATCATGCTCCCGTACAATCAATTTCTATAATGTCTTTTGGTACTTCAACAAATTGGTATACTAAACGTTGTCCATCAACTTTCGCTAAAATTCCACGTTGGTAGTAATACCTATGAAGGAAGGAATATTTATTTATACAATGAAATACATAAATCAAAATACAATAATTTATTACATGCTAACTTTCTTAGCAACCAGTTTGTCTGCCCTTATTGAGTCATTATTTTGCAGTTCCAAATTTATTAATCACATACAGTTGATGAAATATGAGTATGGCATTACACGTTTAAAGTACAAATTAGAAGGGTTATTTCCAACTCAGCTCATATGGTCTCCTGCCAGGGAGGTAGCTGAGGGGATGTTTGAGACACTCTGAATCCCCCCTCCGTAAATTTTTCAAGATCAAAAAATTATGTTACTACTATTATATATATAAAAAATTTAGTAGATCCACTCAAATATTGTCACCTAGCAACATGCCTCCAGCTCAGATGCAAACCATGTCATTTTTATTTAATTTTTAAATAATATGTAGACTGAAAAAGAATGCTAACTAATCACATCAAAAATTTTTAATTAGAAAAAGAGATATAGTCAAAAATGTCTAATAGAAGTCCTCCTATCTTATGTGCTGACCATGTCATTTGCCAATACTTGATTCAACCACAAAATAACAGATAGAGTGAAAAAAGCAGAAAAACGTCATGCTTTGATACTTCAATTAAAAAATGTGCTCTAATATTAATCCAACTTAAATTTTTTTTAAAGTTAACAAAATTCTAATGAAAATTAAAAATTCACACTTTAAGTTGTTATTTAGAGGTGTTTAAGGTGTTAAGGTCACACTTTAAGGTTTTGGCTATAGGGTTAACATTTACCTCGATGATATGTTTTGTAATAAGTGCCAAAACTTGCCTACAGCGTATCACATATTTACCATCAAGGTACACAAATTTTTTAACTCTTATTAGTAAAAAATAAAAATGAACCTTTTCAACCATTAAAAGCACTGAATAGTGTTTTATGAAGTTTCAAACTCAAAACTTAAGTACCTGCTTTGCAATAGAACAAAGGACAGAAAAGCAAAGTCTTCAGCAGATCAGTATGTAACTCTTACTGTAAAATCCTGAAGCCTGGTAAATTCTAGGCTTCATCCGTAAAACCTAAGATACACCAAAGTGGCTTGGTAACTCCTAGGTTTTAACAAGCCACTTTAGTAAAAGCTGGTTTAAATGATAAAACCTAGAATTTACTTGACTTTTCCTTTTTACTATAACTGTCAAAGCCCGAAGTCTGTTAAATACTAGGTCTTACCACAAAGGCTTAAATGGAATCATATAAAAGCATACTTTGGACTTTCGCCCAGCCAATTTTGTAAAAGCTAAGTTTTATAGGTAAAAACCTAGGATTTACAAGCCTGAGTTTTCCTTGTAACATACCCATAAAACTGTGAGGGCAGAACAACTGGATGCCAAAGTGTGGCTAGCTACTAAATAAAAAGAAACTGGTTTATTTATCTTTCATTAGAGACAAAATATCCTTTAATTTTTATTTCAAAATTCATTTTCCTAAAGTCTTCCTGTTAAATAATATATCATGGTATGGAAATAAAAATCAATTAAATATATATATGTCTTAAAAGTAATTATGATATATTTTCATTATTCCATTATCATATGTTACACTTTTCATTATTTAGTTGCAATGAAAGTAAATATAAATAAAATGAATATAAAAATACAAAAAATTCAATTAATTGGGTCATTCTCAGAGAAAGAAGAAAGTTTAAATCTTTGGTTAAAAAAAGAGCGCTAAGTAAGTAAATCACAAATGTTTAAAGTTTTTTGAACAATTCTTCATGAGCAACACTGTGTACACTAGTTTAAACATCAAAAAAGCAATATTTCAATATGAAAAAAATTATTGCAAATGTCATTACCAAGATTTGTGTTAAACTCAGAACATTATTAGAACCTTTATTTTAGAAAGTTAGAAAACTTAAATAAGGCAGGAATTATTTATGTAGCCAAATAAAAAAACTAACAGTTAAATTAGAAATTGACTAGCAGTTAACCACTAAATTAAGTGACAGTTAACTTAGGTTAAGGTAAACTTAAGTGTTCTATATGAATAAAGCAAAAACAATGAGAAATAAAGTACAGACATCATCTAAGCTCATTTGATGTTGCTTTAACTTTATTCTTTTACCTAGGTATTTTTCAGTTATCTACTTTTTGGAAGTTTAAAAATGATGGGAGGATTTTATTTATTATTCTTGGTTAAAACTTGTCCCTAGGATAAGTATTCTGACATAACCAAGATATTTAAGTTTTTCACAGAATATTTCACTGCTAGTTTGTACTGTTACAATTTTCAAATGTGAAACATCAGATGTCTTTACAAGCTATTAGTTCTGTCAGATGGGGTGACTTTGTGCAAACTGTCATTTTTTCAATTTTTGCGTCGTGTCATCTAAGAGTATTTTTTTAAGCTCGGTATCAACTAATTTGGGTTGTCAACATAACAAACTAATGGTTTACCAAGAACTGCCAATGTAAACATTATTGTTCTTGGAAAATTGTGAGCTCAAGTTACAAACAGTTTCAAATTTTTTAATGTCGCAAAATCGGAGGCTGGAAAGTCTGCTCGGTTGAAGAAGTTCTAATTGTCCTGGCCAGAAAGGTAGGTTACACTTTAAAAAACTTATAAATTGAGATAACAAATCATGCATAATCAAGAAATTATTGTGATTACACCAAAGAAGCGTTAGAAAAATGTTTGGCCAAAGAAAAAAATGGCTTATCCATTTCGAAAGAGTCAAAAAAGCTCGGAATTCATCAAAACACGATTTCAAACAAAATTCATGCGAAGCATTCGAAATCTCACAAGGAACATTATTTTTCATTTTCATATTGTTATTTTTCATTTCAATTTTCATATGTTAATTGTGTAAGACATTTAATAAGAGACTGTTAATAAGAGAGGATCATTCCGAATTGCAGAGTTGGAGGCAATTTGGGGGCATTAAATGAGGTAATTCATTCATGTCAAATGTTTGATTGTACCTGAAAATCATAAAAAAAGTTACCAAGATTTAACTAATGAGAAAAAATCTAAAAATTTAAGTTTTTATGTTCATCTTAAGTAGATTTGTTAATACATAGTACATATTTACATATTTGTATGTAATATACTTGTATTGTACGTTAATATTGTTTATCAAACGATTTTAAGTCAAAGTGAATGAAAATAACTGAACTAAGTCATTATTTTATTGCATTGCAAAAAGTCACCCCACCCCGGTCTGACTTTGTGCATTTGACTCATTGATTGCTTACAAATAATAAACATTTCAAATCAGCTCTCAACTACGTGCAATTACTTCCCAGATGGCTAACAAAAAAATTTTGATAAGACTAACAAATTCTTGATTAGACATTTTTTAACTATTTTTTTATTAGGTCAAAGTTGGAAAACTGAAAATTCCAGCAAAAAAAAACCATCTGATCGTTCTTAATCTTATACAAGTAAAAATTGTTTTAGTTTGTAACTTTTGTTCTTAAATTATTCCCCATTAATAAATGCAAAATATATGAATGATTTATAAAGAACTTAGAAGCAAACATTCATAATAAATATTGAACTACCTTTCATTTGTTATAATTCAGCCTTAAACAGGCTCAGCATTAGAAACTTTGACGCTTTTAAAGTTACCAAGGTTTTCCTGAAAACCTTAGCTACCATGTCTAAGGCAATGGTTTAGAGGTGTACAGGGGCAGATGTTTTGGATTGAATCACTGTTCGTCAGGTAACCTTAAACCTTTGAGTGTATAGCCAGATACTCTAATCAAAACAGAAAAATTAATGACGGAAAAGGGTTTTTATTTGTAACACAGGCTACAGTCAGCTTAAAGCAGAATGAAACCAAAAGTAGCTAAGTACCACACAGTGTTGCCAAATTTCTCAAACATAGCAGAGTATTAATCACAAATACATTGATATAGCAAAAAAAAGTTAAACTAGTTAAAGCTACGATCCTTTAAACCAAATTTTCTATTATCTGAAAATGACCCAATTATAATTTTACCTAAGAGCTCTTCCCATTGTTTCATAGTTCATGTCGGGTTTATTTTTATGAAGACCCCATAGCCTAGACACAGCTTTAGAGTCAACTAACTTGAAAATTCCTTTCTCTCTATGCGTCCATTTTATATATCGAGGGCAATATTCTTTGTCTTGAAGAAGTTTTAACAAGAATTCCCAGAGGTATGTAGTTGATCCTGAACAAAAAATTAAAAAAGGAATTAGATTATTGCAGTTTATAAAATAAGTGACACCATTATAAGACAACATAAAATAAAATTGATTAATAAGATGCCTCGAAAATAAGAAGTGTTAAAAATAACTCCTGTATAGAGAAGAAACAGCATAATTACATAAAGCAATATGAATACAACATTCTTCAGGACACGCTTTTTTTCAATTAGACGATTAACTATACGGTCAATTAACAGTTAGCTTTGATACATCACAAAAGGCAAAAATTATAATTTGTCTATATAGGTAATACAGTAAGGTTGTCGGTCAATCTTAAAATATTTCTTTTTTTTTTAGAGCACAGAACATCATTATCCACATATCTGATTTATCCTCACAAAAAAGATATAAAATTTTCTAAAGTTAGCCTAAATAGTTTAGATATTTTGATTTAACTATTTCTTACTAATCTAGGAAAATATTGAAGCATACTGCCACGTCTGTTGCGTAAGCCTCAAGCGTAAAGCAATTTTTACAGCTTTCAAATTCCAGAAATATACTATCACCAATTCTAAAGGTCTGGTATACTGAACTATTCCTCAACCTACTATCAGGGAATCGAAGATCATCTCAAAATCCACAACATTTTATGAGTAAGGTCCACTCAATACTTAATTGCCTTTTTCTAAAATAACTGGAAACATCGTGCAGCGTATTTACATATCTTGAATATGAATAAATAATGGAAAGTTAATTTTTCCTACAGCATAAGCTTTTAACTCCCTTTTTTAGTAAAAATAGGAAAATGAGATAATGGATTACTGAGAAGCTAGTAATCCATTATAATTTCATTATAGTCAAATGATATCAGATAATGCCCTTAAAAAAATGATTAATAAAAACTTATTTTCTCTGAAAAAATTTCGATGAAAGTATGGAAAACTGAAAGGAATCAAAGGGTAAATGCAAGGGAATAAAATTTTTTTGAAGTGAATTTAATGTTTTTGTAATACAGAATCATAAAATTTTAAGTTTATACTGTATTAGCAGTAAACAATTTTGAAATTTTAAACATATGAAATTGTAAAAATATAGCTAGGAAAGTTTTCAGCTGTACCTTTTTTTCTGTGTAAACACATAAATAAACCTTCTTGAAACTTGCAGGCAACTAAAGTGATATTTCCACATCTCAAATTGCTAAAAAGTCAACTCTTTGTTGACTGGCAATTTTACACAAACTATGTCATGTCACATGCTATTATTTAATAATTGAATATAGAAGTGAAGTAAAACATTGTAATAAAATTCCAAAAAATTTTAGTTACACTGAAGGGAATGAAATTAAAACTTAGGAATATACTATAGTGTTCTGGATTTTATAAATTGAAATAGATAATGCAAGCGCAAAGACGAGTTAACTTGTCACCAGTAACAATATGTTAACAGGGATACATTTTAGCCGACTCATTAGTTCATTAATTAGGTTTCAAATTCATGCATGATTATTTTTTGAAGACTCTTTGCAAGAAAAAATAAAAAAAAGTCATATTTTGAATATATTAAGTTTAAAGTAAAGTAATTGTTTTTAATACCTGTACGATTTTGTTGTAAAAAGTTGATTGCGTTGAAAACCAGTTTTCACTGTCAGCAGTGATGAAATACCTATTCTATGCAAGTAATAAAAAACCTAGATCACAGGCCTTTTTTATTTTTTAAAAAAAAACTTGCTTTCTTCAGAGAAGTTATAAAAATATATAACATATTATTCGCTAAAATATGCTATTTTAGATACGAACTCTTTGAAAAAGAACATTAATAGTTAAATTAGTTGTTAATGCTGTTTTGATTCAGGCAATCAAATGTTAGGAATTCATTGTGGGTAGCTTAAAGCCTTTGTTAAGGAATAAAAAATAGCCACAGTTTGGGAGCCTTAAACTCTTAGTATACCTTTAGTTATACACAACATATACTACTTTAAAATAGTGGCAAATTTAATTTTACCTAAACACAGAAAAATTCATTCATTTAAACAAATTAGACTTTGTTAAAAAAGAATATTGAAATCAATGAATAATTCTAAATTTTCACTCATCTTTAAGAGTCTAAATAATGCATTATAGAATAAATTTTCAATCATTAAAAAGTTATTTCAGAAAAATTTCATTTATTAGAAATTGGCTCTTTGTCATATAAAAATTTTTTGACACTTTAATTATCAGCATATCCGAAAAAAATTTAACCAAACATTTATGAATAACTCAAAACAGTTAAAAAAAAGTAGCTAACTCTTTCATAGAAAGTGTTAATTCATATGACAAATGAGTTTTAGATACAACAACTTGAACCATTTATTTATTATATTTTTTATTTATTTATTTTTTAAAGTTGTTATTTTTAGGTAAAATATAAATGCATATCTTCGCACAAGAAAAAGCAAAATTTATTTTTGTGAATTTACTTATTTATTTACTTTTTAAAAATATGATTAGAAGTTCAATTATTTAAACTGAAAAAAAAAATGAAAAAAAGATAAATTTAACCACCCAAAAGTTAAACCAACTCAGTAAAAATTATTTTAATGACGAAATTTATAAAATATTAAAAACTGTGAATAATATTTCATACCTTCATCTTGTATAGTTAAAAAAATATCCCAAACATCAACATCAAAATCACTTTAAATGAAAAATGTGTATAAAAAATATATTCTTAATATTGCCATCAATAACAAAATTGCATAGGTCCCAATTGCTTGAATGCCACTCTTGCAAAATTTAAATGGTTGCAATTTTTGTTGTAGATACAAATTCATTTAATATTTGTATTAAGCAGAAACAAGAAGATACAGGCAATTTTATTACATGTTTTTTTTTAAAGAAGAAAAAAAAACAAAAGGCTAAGAAAATGCAATTTTTTTTTCCCGTCATATACATGTTCCAAAGTATGATTGTTAAAATAAGCTATTTAGTTAAAAATGAAAACCAATCAAGAAATTTTGCTTATTCAAAAAAAAAAAAAAAAAAAAAAAAAAAAAAAAAAAAACAGGTTTTTGTTATAAATTGCACTTCTCTGCTTTGCCTTGACATAATTCAATAAATATTTAGATTAAAAGATTTACTTTTAAAAGTATTAAAAAGTTTGAAAAATATCAATAAATTAGGTTTTGGTACATTTCAAGTAAACATATTTTTTTAAAGGATTTCGCAATTTTTTTTAACAAATCATGCCAGAGCCGTATGAAATTCAATTGTTCATTATAAAACAATATTTTTATGCTTTATTTCTATGGTGCTTTACATTATATTCTATATGCTTTATTTCTATTCTTTATTTTTATGATGGTTTTTAATGCTTTATTATTTTTATAATTAACACTTTTACTGTCAGGTTAGAGCATAATTTAAAATATTTTAATTATGGAAATAATTTAGTTATCATTAACTGAATTTTGCCACCTGAAATAATAGCATGCTTCATATAGTTAAAAAAATGAGAAAAGAAAATGACATTTTAAATTTTTGTCACCCTAAGTCACTTGAAATTTTCTTAATAAAACAAGTTAATAATGTGTCTTCAACTTAAACCAACTCTTAAGTTTACCAGCATTGACAGCACTGTCCCATTCCGTCACGTCTGGAAAACAATATCCGAGTAATGATTTAGTTAATAAAACTCTGGGCCCTATTAATAAATACTAAGAACTGAAAAGTTATGTCTGATGATTGCAAATTCTTACAGGCTTCCTATTTTAAAAAATAAAGATTGACCATGTGATTGATTAAGTAGCCAAATACAAACAAATTTCTCTGACATTAAATAATGACTTAAGATTTTGCACAATAACAGCTTTCAAACTTGATATATAAAAAGTTGATTGGATATCTAATATCTCCTCATAGTCATATATATTTTAAAGTGTAGAAATAAACTGTAATGAGTGGAATTTAAGGCAGTTAGCTCAATATTACATTATTGACAACCACATAGCTTTAGTACTCTCAACAGGATATTACTTCTCACTTTGAACTATAAATTTGCTTGAAGTATGCTGTGCATGTGGTTTCGTAGCTTGTATTGGGACCCCTTTTTTAGAATAGTTTTATATAGGAGAGAATCAAATTCAAAGAGTAATTATGATGTATCATTTCAAAGTGAAAACAGAAAGTCATCCAATTAGTTGCAGTCAAGGGAACAAAGTAAATTAAAATGTTGCTGGCAGCGCCCTGAAATAATACATGAAATCTTTGCATAATTTTAGTAATGAGTTAATAAAAATTAAGTTTTTTGAAGACAAAAATATTTCTGAGTGGTAGTTGGAAATAATTTAAAAATAATAAAATAACCATTATGTCATCATATTAAAATAAAATACATGCAAAAAAAGATTCTCAAAATTTAATAAGAAAAGATGCATTAATTTTTAAATGAAGAGAAATATTACAATAGCAAATATACATAAATTTCTTCTGATATCAAAAAAATTTCTTCTTTTATGCATTTAATTTGATTAAGGGAATCCAGTCGCAATGAAATTGTTTTTTAAAAAAAAATATCAGACTATATAATATTTGGTAAACACAAGATATATATAGTTTTAAACAGTAATTTCCTGGTGAATTATTAAAAACAGTAATTTAACCGAGACACTCCTACCAATATAGATTGAGTCAGCACAATCTTTTTTTTTTTATGTAATATAAAATTAATTAGAATACATACAAAACTTATTTTACCATAGAAGTCAAAATTTATAGAAGTCATATATTCAAAATTCAAATTACAATAAAATAAAATTAAAAAAAGAAAAAGTCCGACCAATAATTATCAAATTATGAAAGAAATTATTTTCTCAGTACCACATAAATATTTTTACAAAAAATCAAAATATCTATAAAAAAATCACTCAGTAAAATTAATCAAAATTTAAGTATAAACACATAATTAAATTACCATATCATAAAGCATTGTAAACAGAATAGTGTAACTAACTTACCTTTTGATAGATAAAATATAGATTGAATATAAAGTGCCAGACTCCAAAAGAATAAAATTAGAAAATACTCACTTTAGAAGCACAAATAATATGCTAATATGTATTCCAAATTATATTTTCTAAACCATTCTTAATATCCTAAACATTAATAAAAAATAAAACACACACAAAATTTGCCGTTCAAGAGAAAAATACCACATTTTTACCCTTGAGAAAACAGAGTTAAATACAAAGCATCTTTGTGAAACATGTTAAAATAAAAAATAGCTTCAATGCATACTCATAAATATTACAAAATATTGCTAATACCTATATAATGATATTTGAAGTAAAAAAGCCAAATAAAAGAAAAACACAGACATTTGAATACAAAAATCCTATCTAAAGGCAATACACAAAAACCTATTAAAATAAAATACAAAAAACCTACTTTAATACCATATAAAAAACCTATTAAAATACAATACAAAAAACATATATGAAAATAATACAAAAAAAAACTTAACTAATAACAATACTAAAAACGAATTGAAATACAATACAAAAAAAAAGAAAATTTGTTTTTACCTTCTCTACTTTTTCTTTTTACAGCAGGTGACCCATCTGGATTCTTCGATTTTCGACCTTTAGTACAAACATATACAATTTTTAGTGCACAAATCATTACTCAAAAATATACACATTGGAAGCTGCAAATTAATATTTAAGCAAGGAAACAAAAACTTGAATGAAATCTATTTAATCACAAGTGGTGAAGGTGCTATGAAAAACATCAAAACCAGTTTGATTGCCTGATATAACTCTGAGGTTTTTCTAATAAATATATTTTAACTCCTCTCTGTTTCCTCTAGCAAGCAAGAAGGTTTTTATGTTTTCAGTTCTTCCAGCCTCAGTAGTAATTCAGATTTCAGTGAGGTTTGTTTTACCCCACTTAAACATAAATATGCAACCCATATGCTTATACAGTAGGGAACCGATTATCCGGAACGATCGGGACCATCGCTATTCCGGATAACTGATTTTTCCGGTTTTCTGAATCGCTACAAAAAGCCGTTTTTTTTATTGTCAAATTCAACTAAAAAAATATATTTGGAAATAATCTTGAAAAGAAGAAAAAACAATGAAGTAATACACTAATGATTGTTTCCAAAATGATGGTAAGGTTAACATCTTTCAAAAAAGAAAGAAAAATCTTGAAATCTTATGAGGAGAAAAACATTTGTTTTTTCAAAAATGGAGGGAAAATTTATCGAATTTTGTTCCGGTTATTTGGTTTTCCGGTTTTCTGATTTCCGGATAACGGCTTCTGTACTGTACCTTTTACTGCATTTTTTAGGAAACCTCTAAAGAGGGCCATGTTTACAAAACGCTTCATATTCAAGGTGTTCATAAGGACAGCATGGTAAAAACTGGTTTAAATGCCTCATATAACTTGGAGGTTTTTTCTAATATATATATTTTCACTCCACTATGCTTCCTCGAGAAAGCAAAGATGGTTTTTATGTTTTAAGCTCTTCAAGCCTTAGCAGTGATTCATTAGTTTTCAGTGAAGCTTGTTTTACCAGCTTAACATAAATAAGCAACCCATAACACATATACCTTTTACTGCATTTTTGACAAAAGTTCTAAAATGGGTCATGATTACAGAATGCTCCATATTCAGGGTGCTCATAAGGTCCATCTTTGTAATGTATTTTTAGAATCCTCAAAAAAAAATAATAATAAAAAAATTGTATACACATTGGAAAGTTGCTAATTAATATTTAACGGACAAAAAAAAAAAAAAAAAAAAAAAAAAAAAAAAAAAAAAAAAAAAAAAAAAAAAAAAAANATGTTAGTAGAGAATGGCAAATATAATAAACATCAAAACATTGTACCTAATAAGAGGTAGAAACATGAAGATATTTTTAATAACCATATCTCAACTCCTCTCTAATTACTCTGGCAATCAAATCTCAAAAGAGTTTGTACTTTTACTTGGTTAAATATTAATTTGCGACCTACAATGTGTATACTATTTTGTTTTCATACTCGACGAGAATTTAAAAATGCTTATTGACCTTCACCACAGCTTTTATGGAACACCCTGTAAATTTTTGGAATTCTTATCAAACTTGAAATCAATTCAAATATCTCATTTCAACTCCTCAAAATTTCATTTAGAAATAAACAAATTTAAGAGTTTTTAAGCCTGCCTCTCTAAATATTAATGAGTCAGGTTTTAAAAGCCTCGTTTAAAAATTAATTTCTGACCCCACATGTGAATATTTTTCGTCTTAACAAATATTCCTTCGAGGGAGTGATAAGGGGATAACTTGCATAAAAGACCTGATGAGTAAGTTTGCTTGATTTATAAGTTTGAAAAATAATTATAGCACTTTTTACTCTAGTTACGCATGTTTTTCAAGTCTCTTTGTTGCAAAGCGATGGGCCACATATTTGTCCATTTAAGGGCAAGATTTGGTCCCTAGACCCCAGATTGTGGTCCATTACTTTAATGAAATCATTATTTCAACTTTTAAAAAAAATAGCTTGATTTAAATTGGAAACACTTTACTAACTGCAATAAAAAAATAAGAGATAACAGGGGTTCAGAATATGTTGGATCAAGTGAACGAGGTTCGTGGGAAGTTCAGGCAGTCCTGAGGCAAAAAAAAATTTTCTACTTAAAAAAAATGCTATACAATTTTTTGCTGTAAAACATTTTGTAGCTTTCTCTTTGAATACTTAAAGACTACTTGATTTCCTGACTGTTGTTAAATCTTGCTGCTCAACTAAAAATGTAGTATTTGAGAACATAAGGAAGATGAAAAAGTAAGTCGTCATTTAAATATTAAAATATACATTTTTAAAGTTTATTTTAATTTATTTTAAAGTCCAAATATCATAAAAACTTACTGGCTAAAAAGAAAATTTTCTGTCATGTTAAATGTAACACAAATAACTTTATATGTCAATTTGCTTATTTATTAGCTTGCATTCCTTAAGTTTATGAGTGGGGCATTAATTTCAGATTTTCAAATTGTTACTATTTCAATAAATTTTGATTTCAATTATTTTTAACATACATGCTAGTTTATTCAAGAATTGCTTAAAACCAAATTATTTTTTTTTCCTTGTTAAATAATTTTAAGAATAATTCTTCACTTTCTAAAATTTTGAAAAGCTGTATTAACTTTAAAAAAAGGATACATCTTGGGAGAAATTTTAAGAAAAAAAGTATTCTGGGGAAATATTAGGCTTAGAGAATTTTTTATCCCCCTGGGGAAAGAAAATCAAAGAAAGTCAGAGCTTACTTTTCTTTTTCATCCTAGCTTGGTAAGATAAGTCTTCCACATAGGAAGCTGGATCTAAATCTAGGCCACAAGGACTACTATGAGTTATTACAGAGGTTGGAATGGCTGGCTGATGAGGTGAAATAGATGAGGAAGGAGAATTGTTATTTCTGGTTAGTGCCAAGGGTGTTGTACTGGATACTTGTGGACCAGATAGCAACTGAGATATTGATGCTGCTGCAGAGTGCAATGAGTGGCCCATGTGAGAATGATGACCAGAAAGGTGAACTTGTAGCTGAGAGATAGAGTTGGTATGCAGAGAGTGACCAAGGTGATGACTAACATGATGAGATGATGTTGGTGACAAATTACTGTATGTTGTGTGAGGCTTTTGAGAAGTGTCCATGTAATGCTGTGCAGATTGCTGCTGCTGCTGTTGTTGTTGTAAATGTTGTTGTTGTTGTTGCTGCTGCTGCTGTGAGTGATGATGGTGATGTTGTTGTGGTGGTTGTTGTTGATGGTGCGAATGAGGAATACTTGTCCGATGGTGCCTATAATGAGCCTGAGATTGACCAGGGTACACTGGGACTGTGAGTGCATTGGGATCTAAAACAAAGAAAGCCATTTGAATCATGTAACTTAAAAGAAATATTTTAACATTTTCTGAACATGCATTCTCTGAATAAACATAAATTTTTTTGACAAATTTAGATTCCTGATCCTCCAAAAATAGGAGGTAGACGCAAGCCGGGGAATATGATCCCAATATTTTGGTCAGGAGAGACAGAAAGGTTGGAAGTTTTGATCCATTGGTGTCAATTTTACTATTTGCGAATTTTGCCATAACTCAAGAACTTTTTAAGAGAATAAAAAAAATTGCACGCACATAAAAAGCTTGTTTATCCAAAGATAAATCCATACAAAAAATGATTGCTTATAATCATTTATTATCTTTTTATCACTTTTCTAATATTTTATTTAATATAAGTTGAGAAAAATTAAATTTTAAGGTATACAACATTTTAAGGAATATAAATTTTTAAGGCAAAATACAAGATTTGAACCACAGCGGCCGAACAGTTTTGAGAAATCACATTTTTAAAAAAATCACATTTTTAAAAATCGCCTTCTCAGGAACTATTCAAGGAACTCAGGAACTATTCGAATATTTTGCCATACAAAATTAGTCTTTAAAATGACATAAAAATTTGTGTATATTACAATTCAAAATTTATCAAACTATTAAATAAAAAAAAAATTATTATAAAATTTATTTTCTGTGAATTGATTGTTTTGATTGACATAAAAAATGCTTCGAGAAATTATTTTCATATTTATTGTTTTATGTGTTACAGTTTCTATGATTTATTGATTGGTAGAATTTATATTTTTGTTTTACTATGGTGTTTAGGTTTAAGATAAAAATGCCATTAAAATATTTTTCTCTTCTTAATGCAACTATTCTTCTTAATTATTGAAATTAAATTTTAATATATGAATGCAATTTTAGTGTGGCAGAAATTATAAATTAAAGGAAGAAATGTTCAAACTAATACAAATAATTTGGAAAATGAATAAAATAAATGTTTTTAGAATTTGAATTGAAGAGCAACCAAACAATAATGCTTTAGTCCAACGTTCGTAAATAGTTCATAGCTCAGTTCTAGCTCAGTAGTTTCCATTAACAAACAAAGTTTCTAATTGCTGAGAGTGAATCCCAACATAAAGAAAAAGTGACCAAACACAAATTGAAAAGTAATAGTAAGCAAATACACTTTAAAAACACGTTTAAAATAGAAATGAAAATATTAGAATTTCCTAACACCCGATTGTGACAAATTAAATAACCATTTAAGATCTCTGCACAAAAATTACTTAAAAAATATCCGAAATTTTTGAGAAAAGAAAAAAAAAATTTACGTCCAAAAAGAAAGAAAGATATAAATGCAAACAAACAAAAGGTAATTTGCAACATAACCAAACTTGCACTTCAGATTAAAAATAAGGAAAATAGCTAGGTCAGTCATGATTTAAAAACTGACTTACCTTAATATCATATTAAATTTGAAAGCTTTCTTTTGAATTTCAATTAATGATTGTGTTAAACAGGTTGTAATGCAAAATCTAAGAAGACTGCTCACCTTTTCTGATTAAAAAAGCAATTTGTCTTTACACATTTTTCCTGAAATCCTGGTTAATGATTGCAATAAAAAACCAAGTACGAAAATAAAAGTATAAATAAATAAATATATAGAAAGTAGAAAGAAAAATAAGAGAGAAAAAGAAAAGAAAAAATATTACAGAAGGCAAATTTTGGACATAAAAAGTTTTTTTTTTTTTAAATTCCGGATATTTTGCTATTAAAGTGATAAATATGAAAGGTTAATAATAAATGAAGTGAAATAAAGACAATACTGAAATCTTGGACTTCAGAATAGCAATCACTGTGTCATTTTTTAAATTTTTTTTTTTTGTTTTCAAACAAGGTAAGAAATACTCAAGTTTAATTTCAGATTGAAATTTTTCCTGTTAAACTGTTGTTTGTATTTTATGTTTTACTTACAACATTTTTAAAAGATACTTATAAATTTTTATCATCTTGATTGAAGAGTTAACTTAAATTGCGTTATTATGAAGAATACTTCTTTTAGTGAAAAAACTGTGTTGTGATCTTTAAGCAAAAGACTTGGAACTGAAAAAACTGTTGAAAATGAAAATTTTAAATTTGCTGATAATGCTACTACAGATTTTTAATCATGTTAAAATTTTTACTATGAGTACAAATGTAAATTTTTTATAAGTTATATTACTTTATATCTTGTTAAAATTGCAAACTTGATTCTTTTTATTTTAATTGTACTTCTACCATAGGGAAGATTTTGCAAATAGATAATTTTTAAAATTTTTGGATTGTAATTAAACACTTTTAGCGAGGGGGGATGTAACATAAAAAGCTTCTATTAATCTTTTTATGTTATCCTAATTAATTATCCGAATCGAAATACTTTCTCACACTTTCAAAAGCCACATCCTGTCCTTAAATCAATTTTTGGCACAAGTATGCATTTAATTAAAAGCAGGACATTTTCCCCCTTAATTTTCGTTAGAATCACTCGACCTATTTCATAAACTAATAGTAATTTCTAAGATTTCCCTCTTTTCCCTAAATAGAGACATTCACGGATTTTACTTTGCAAGATTTTCCCTAACATATAACCGATGAGCGCAACTTTTCGTGTCACTTTCATGACTGCCCTGCCTAATAATTAATAAATAAATTTTGCACCNGTCTATAATTTTTCTTTGTTTTATTCTTCATTTTGAACTTATATATATATATATAGAGAGAGAGGGAGAGAGAGAGAGGGAGAGAGAGAGAGAGAGGACCCCAACTAAGCATTCTCCACAAAATGCGATAAAATCGTAAATTCGGCGAAAGAAGTGTTTCGCCGAAAGTATTAACGAATGATTTATTTTCTACCGAAAATATATTCCCTTCAATACTGTAAAAAAGGTGAAAAGGAATTTTTTTAAAAACAAATCCTGTATTTTTTAACCGATTACAATAACTTCCTTTCGATACGACGCATAACCAATTAGAATTATATTAATTCCAGATAATGTATGCCACAAGAGAGATTTAGAAAGTATCAAACAAAACTACCTTAAAATACAAATTACCACGTTCGTTGCAGGATCACACGATATCACGTGACAAAATTTTTTATACAGTTTGTGACATTAAAACAGATTAAGTGGTAGCAAGATGCATATTATCATTCAACTATTTTTGCAGAAAATATGTTTTCTTCTCGTGACTATAACATATACAATAACGTGACAATAACATTATCCATTATGTTTCTACCCTAGACTAAGAAGTCATCAAAAATTAACCGCAACTTATTCCTATTTCTTTTCCTCAAAGACGATAAAATAACATTTTTCATTCTCCCTCCCATTCTTTGCTCTCCTCCCCAACTATAAAATGACTCTTGATTTGAATATTTATTTCACAAAATAATTCAATTTATAGTGAATTTCTTTTTTGATTAGATGTTTTTTTATATAAAAAATCAATTATAAAAAATTGTTAAAAATTTGCCTTTGGCTAAGAATTTTGAAATTTCTAATAATTTGAAGTGCTACTTGGAGAGAATCAATTAATATGCTTAACTTTACTACCATATTAAAAAACAAAACTAATGTAATAATATTAAAAAAATCTAACAAAAATAGAATAAAAAATAGTCTAACACGTCATGACATTTAAGTTATCATAAACAAAGCAAAACAAAAGTTGAAAGAAAAAAAATGTCGGTGTTTTCTTATCTCTTTTCGGCGCAGAAAAAAGTTTCTTACAGAATTTTCGAAAGAGACTTTCTGTTTCAAGGATTCAGAACAGTAGGTCAGTTCTCGTATCAAAAAATAGCTCACATAATTAGGCAGAAGCTAGAAATTGTTTTGAAAGCTTTGGTTTACGTGCAATAAGAATTTCTGAAATTTACACCTTCCTACGAATTTATCTTAGGATCTAACTTAAATTTAAGAGATGGGTAACTTTTCTCTAAAAAAAGGAGGCATTCTTTACCTTTAATCAATTGAGACCAAAACGAAGTTCATAAGACTGTTAGTTTTGAAGTTATTAACTATTTAGTATTCAAATTTTGACTTATTTTCTTCTGACAAACCTGTCTATGCAAGTGATGTCCTATATATATATATATATANTTTTCATTATCAGAATGATTTATCTGATTTTTTTTTAAGAATTTAATTTGTATAATCCTATTAAAATTTTTACGTTTTGACGTTTGTTGACTAGAATATAAAGCTTGTTCACGATTTTTAAATCAATCTACATTTTTTGACTGCTTCATAAGTTAATTGCATCCATTTATTGTTCCATTTTTTTTTGTCCTATTTACATCCGTATCCTTTACTAGTGTCTTAAAGTTTAATTGCTTATTTTTTTAATATAAAATAATCAATTTTATCATTGTTATTTCCATTGTCAAAGTCTCACAAATATATATATATATATATATATAGCTTTTTAATTACATCAGGCACTTATGTTTTATATTTTAATATTTATATAAAAAGAATCGGTCTGAGATTTAAGCTCGAATGATATTTTCGACTGTATTTTCGACAATCACGGGAGAAAAATTTCTATTTCATCTCATCTTCGCACTCACGCGTATTCCACAAATTTCTGAATTCCCCGCTTTGTAACAATATATATTTAAAAAAATTAATCTAAAAAATCATGCAGATATTCATAGCAATGACCAACTCTACCAAGCAACGAAAACCAAGTGGATTTACGATGAAATCTATGGAAAATCGAATTAACGTGTTTTAAAACCAAAAGGTGCAATTCGGAATTCAATAATATTAATAATAATAATTCAAGTAATAAATCCGCTCTAAAAATAACGGAATTTTCAAAAATTATTTAGAAATCCATGGATAATTGTCGAAAAATCATTGAAAAAACAGGTAATTTACGGACTAAATCGGACGCTTGCTTAAAAAAATTACTATTTAAATGCGCGATTCGAAAATCACATGCTCAATAATATTCGCCTAAATGTATCGGG